CACGCACGCACGCACGCACGCACGCACACGCACACACATACACGCACACACGCACACACATACACGCGCACGCACGCACACACACGCACACACACACACGCACACGCACACGCACACGCGCACACGCGCACACACACGCACACACACACGCACACACACACGCACACACACACATACACGCACGCACACACACACACACACCTGCCCTCTTGCTCCGCCGCCACCCACCCCCACGACCCTGACATCCTCGCGTCGGGAAAGTGTGCGGCCGGGGGTCTCGGAGGATGCTCGGCCTCCGGGGCCCGTGCCGGGCCCCGGGAGCGGCAAGGCACAATGACAACGTGACCCGGGTTCTGCACGAACGAAATGGGCACGGGCCCAGACGTCTGGTCGACGTCGCGAAGAAGTAACGATGTCGGAGTTCGGGGGGAGGAGGCCGACCCCCCCCCCCTTGCCACATCCGTCGTTCTGCTCCTCCACCTCCCCAGGAGGATCGAGGGAGTCTGCATGAGCGTAGACTTTCGAAGCTCCGCGCGAAGATCTTGAATCTGCGCTGGACCCTCCTGGCTGGCGCATCTGGCGCCGCCCCTGGCGCGCTCCGCGCGCCAGGGAGGGGGTCCGACGCCGACCCAGGAAATCCGCGCGGACCTCCGAAGTGTATATTTGTCATTACCTAACAGCGAAGACTGATAGGTTTCTAGTTGACTCAAAAGAGCTCACAGATCACTCCACAGGGGGGTCCGGGCAGGTGTTGGGGCGTTTCCGGGCGGCATGAGCCGGGCTCGTTTTTCACCAACAGTCACACACTTCGTGCTCTTCGCCTTCCCAGAACTCCATTCCCAGGCCACATTCTGGGGGGCCGGATGCAACAGTCACACACAAAGTGCTCTTCGACATCCCAGAACGCCATTCCCGGGCCACATTCTGGGGGGCCGGATGCAACAGTCACACACTTCGTGCTCTTCGAGTTCCCAGAACGCCATTCCCGGGCCACATTTTGGATGCCCGGAGCCAACTGTAGGCCACTTCGTGCTCTTCGAGTTCCCAGAACTCCATTCCCGGGCCACATTTTGAATGCCCGGAGCCAACTGTAGGCCACTTCGTGCTCTTCGAGTTCCCAGAACTCCATTCCCGGGCCACATTTTGAATGCCCGTAGCCAACTGTAGGCAACTTCGTGCTCTTCGACTTCCCAGAACTCCCATTCCTGGGCCACATTTTCAGCAGGGGCAAGAGCACGACGAGGAGGAGGACGAGCAAGACCAGGAGGACGAGGACGAGCAGGAGCAGGACGAGGAGCAGGAGGAGCAGGAGAAGAAGGACGAGCAGGAGGAGGAGGAGGACGAGCAGGAGGAGGAGGACGACCAGGAGGAGGAGGACGACCAGGAAGAGGAGGAGGAGGAGGAGGAGGAGGGGAGGGGGAGGAGTACCAGGAGGAGGAGGAGGAGGAGGAGGAGGAGGAGGAGGAGGAGGAGGAGGAGGGAGGAGGAGGAGGAGGAGGACGAGGACGAGGAGGAGGAGGAGGAGGGGGGGGGAGAGTACCAGGAGGAGGAGAACGAGGACCACCAGGAGGAGGAGGAGGAGGAGGAGGAGGAGGAGGAGGAGGAGGAGGAGGACACCAGGAGGAGGAGGACGAGCAAGACGAGGAGGACGAGAACGAGGACGACCAGGAAGAGGAGGAGGAGGAGGAGGAGGGGAGGGGGAGGACTACCAGGAGGAGGAGGAGGAGGAGGAGGAGGAGGAGGAGGAGGAGGACGAGGAGGAGGAGGAGGAGGAGGAGGACGAGGAGGAGGAGGGGGGGGGAGAGCACCAGGAGGAGGAGAACGAGGACCACCAGGAGGAGGAGGAGGAGGAGGAGGAGGAGGAGGAGGAGGAGCACCAGGAGGAGGAGGACGAGCAAGACGAGGAGGACGAGAACGAGGACGAGCAGGAGGAAGAGGAGGAGGAGGAGGAGGAGGAGGAGCAGGAGAAAGAGCAGGAGGAGGAGGAGGCAGGCTGAGGCTGAGGCTGTGACTGCGACTGCCGTTGCCGCTGCGACTGTCATCGCGAATGCTACTACGACTGCGAGAACAGCAGAATTCGACAACTGGATTTTCGTCTGAATCTTAAGGGGAATGCTTTCAGATATGCTTCTACACATCGCTGTTAGGTTGCTTTGCCGGGATAATTTTGTTTTTTTGTATGTCTCTTATTATTGAATCGATTCGCTCATTCCGCCGGCCCATAGGGAATTGATGTGTTCTTGCTTATGGGGGCTCTCTCGGAAGGCTTCGTGGCCGCTGGGGGAGTCTTGAACGCGTCGCGGGCCGTCTGGAAGCATTTTGCCTATGGGGACTCTTTCGGGAGGCCTCTTGGTGGCCTCTTGGGGACTCTTAGACGCGTCGGGTCGTTGGCACTTGCTTGCGTGCTCGGGGGGGGGGGCATTTGGGGGGCCTCCTGGGGCCGCTTGGGGGGCCTCTTGAAGGCCTCCTGACCTGAGGGCATGTTGGGGGCCTCTTGGGGCCTCTTAGGGGCCTCTTGGGGACTCCTGGGGGCTTCTCAGGGCCGAGGGCTCGAAATGTTGTTTCGAGTTCCCCCCGGACCTCTCTTGGGGCCTTCTTGGGCCGTCTTGGAGGCCTCTTAGGCCGTCTTGGAGCCCTCTCGGGCCGTCTTGGGGCCCTCTTGGGGGCCTCTTGGGCCCTCTTGGGGCGGTCTTGGGGGCCTCTTGGGCCGTCTTGGTGCGTCGGGAAGCCGAAAAGGTGAAAACGCCAAAATCTGTCTAAAATCAAAGGAAAAGCAATACATTGTGCCTCTTAGGGCCCTCTTGAGAGTGCTCTTGGAGGCCTCTTAGGCCGTCTGGGGGCCATCTTGGGCGTCTTGGAGTGATTTTGTGGGAAAGAAATGGTGAGAAAGTATGGTGAGAAATGGTGAGGTGGTGAGGGGGGAGCCAGGATGCGATGAGAAAGGAAGTGGGAGGAGGATATGGAGGAGGAGGAGGAGGAGGAGGAGGAGAAGGAGGAGGAGGAGGAGGAGGACATGGAGGAGCAGGTACAGGCCAACGGGTAGAATCAGTAGCAGGAGGAATGGTGAGGAGTAGGGGGAACAAGAAGGAAGAGGGGGAAGGCAGTGGGGACGAAACTCAAGGGGGAGTGGGGGATGGCGGGAGGGAGGGAGGGCGACGAAGGGCGAGGGAGGGAGGGAGGGAGCAGAAAGGCATGGGGGCGGGTTCAGGGGGGGGAGGGATTTCAGAGGAGGGGGGCGGGAGGCGGAAGGGCAGCGTGCGAATTGTCGCATGTCCCCCCAGGACCGGGAGGCCAAGCAGCTCGCCAAGCATACTGGGGGGGCCCGACGCGGTGGCAGTGCGCCAGCCCATTGGATGTCGGGACATGTCCCCTTTGTCCACATCCTTCCTCTTCGTCCTCCTCTCCACTGCCCCCCCATACCACTACTTCTACTAGTGCTACTCCCTCCGCCCTTCTTCCCCTCGTCCTCTCCAGATCCGCATCCTCCTCCTGCTTGTCATATTCGCCCTCCTGGTCCCCCATCCGCCTTCTGTTCCCGTTTCCGCTGGCTTGATTGACCTTCATATTTAATTTCTTCCGGTGCCTCATTCCCATTATTTGTTTTCTTCTCTTCCTCGTCCTCCTCCTTGTGCCCCTCCTCAACCTTCTCCTCATCATCTTCCTTCTCAGGGGCTCCATTTGCCCACGGAGCGCCATTGCATGCTCATCCTCATCATCATCATCATCATCATCATCATCATCATCATCATCATCATCATCATCATCATCATCATCTTGTTGCACGAGGAGGACAGTCGACTTTTGGATGCCAGACCAATGCAAACCAATCAGGGACTTCAAGGCAGCCTTTTACGAAGTGGAACGCATGTGGCTTCAATATCAGCAGGTGTGTGGTGAAACCCTCGCTACCAGATGCGACTTCATAGGATCACACCTGGGTTGAGAGTGATCAGGGTTGAGGACTTCTACATGAGGGTGGGCATGAGGCATGAGGCTCATGCGCTAGATTCGTAGCTCATCGCGAGAAGCGGGGACCGATAAGGGTAACAGCTTTAGCGATGGCGACCACAACTTGGCGACTGGACGTACGAGTACCCGTGGACTGGCAACGACTCCACGATTCAGGGCACCGCGCTGCCCTGAGTCTTGGGCTGCATATGTAAGGTTTGGGGCACGAGGCCATTCATGACCGCAGAGCGCCAGCAGGACTATTATTACCCATTGTGACTGAGTGTGGTGCCCGTTTGCCCCACGCTGGGAGCAGTCGCGAGGAAGCAAATTCCGAAAGGATGGCAGCCTAATTACGAACGAGGTGGCGGACGACTAGCACACGCTGCAGCAGCGCAGGATCCATCACATGGCGCAGGCAAGGTCCAGAAAGACTTGGCGAAATGTAAAAGAGACGGCCAGGACAGTGCTGGGTAAGATGCTGCTGGACCTCAGCACGGAAGCGGCGCACGCTCGGGGAGCCAGGCTAGGAGAGGGCAGCGTGGAACCGTAGGTGGAACAGGTGATGTTACCTTGGGGCACAGTCGTGCACATCACCGACCTCACAGACATCCTTGGGAGCACGCTGTTGACTGCGACGCTGAAGTGGTACAAGACTAGCTTGAGCTTGCGATTGAGGAGTTGGTGCTCCCACGCGTGCACGCGTGAGCTCTCACGGGTGTCGCTCATGGGATGTGAGGACGCGATGGGATGCGTTCACATCGCCGCGCCAGTGCAGCTGCCGATTCTCAAGAGCTCGGAGTGGGCTCGGTCGCCCTCCCCTTGCGATTCAACGTGCGAACGCCAACCAGACGTTCGATATTCCCTGGCCGAAAGGGGCGGTGGCTGCGACGAAGAGGGCAGGAGTGCCAAGCAGACTACTGCGAGGGCGAAGGCTGCGTGATGGAACCCGTGCATAGTTGGTACAACTACGGTGTTGGTGTCAATATTGTATTACCGAAGCGCTACACAAGAGAATGCCGGCGCTGCCTGGAAATTCAAAACCGCATTTCCCAGTTGCATGGTGCTCGCGGTCCTCGCATACGAGGCGCACGCCCTTCGTATCGTGACGGAGGGTGCGCGCGTCACGTCTGGGTCAAGAACGAGTGCCCCCTGGCGCGGGATGTCCTGGAACGCAATATAACAAACCTAACCATGCAGAATTAGATCCCGGCCGCTCGGCGCGATGCCCTCCAGGTCGATCTCAAGCGTTGCGAGTTCCACCCCTCGTTCAGCTTGCCAGCGCGCATACACTCAGACTCGCGATAGCACGCCAGGCGCGGACGCTTGCACTTCAGTGGCATGGCGTGCGTGGCGGGGAGTCACCCACCGCAAGAAGACGTTGACCGTGCTCGGGCGCGCCCAGTGCACAAGGCATTTCGCGCACCCCGTGCTTTCGGATGGCTGCGAGAGCTGGACCAGGACGACGGAGCGAGGCTCTGTGCTCCGCTACGCAGGGGGGATCCGCGAGCGGCGGGATGGATGAGTGTCGGAATGGCCCACGCGGCCACCGACGACGATGGCCAGATTGATGCCAGCACGAGGAGGCAAGCTCGTTCGTGATACGCCTGTGAAGATCAAGCACAGGAGCCGCGGCCTCGCTGTCGCAGGGCGGGCGCCCCAAGACGATCCGAAAGCTGGAAGTGGTGAGCTGCTTGGGCGACGTCATGATCTACGCGGTCAGAGCGCTCCACGAGGTTGAGGAGGAGGAGGAGCACTGCAGCGGACGCGGGATCCGATGAAGAAGAGTAGACAGCGGGCGCGTCGCATTCGCCCGTACACGATCAGAGGAGAGCCTTTTCAGCATCGGTAAAGGTGGGCGCGCCAAGCGCAGCGGGAAGAGCTGTACCTCTCCGCTGCGGGGCAGGGATGCCGCGAGGATCCTGTCCAAGTCCAAGGCAGAGCGGCGTGGAGGTTCGCGAGGGCAGGGCCGGGAGCCTCCTTTGCAGCGCTGGCACCAAGAGCGCGGCCTGTGACAGGCGGGGCTTTGCTCAGCAGCCGCGTCCTCAGCAAGTCCCAGCGCGCGCGCAGCCTGCCGGCCAGGCTGGGCCGGCGGCCGTCCCTTCTGCAGTGCCGCGCCGCGGCGGATGCGAGTGCACATCGAGGGAGGCAGCAAGACGACGATCGTGTGGCTCATCGGGTGCTGGCACGCGCGCTAGCACGCGAACAACCCGCAGCTGGCGCCAGCACTGGCCCGAACGCGACGTAGTCTGCGCGCGGCCTTGGGGGAACAGAAAACAAGGTCAGCCTCGCGGCAGATGGGACGGACTGGGCCCAGCGCACATGCTGGGAGCGCAACAAGGATTGCGATAGTACGACAGCATCCGCATTGGAGCGGCAGTACGAGATCGCGGCGATTAGCCTCGTCCCATGGCAGTGATGGCGGCGAGGTTCGAAGGCCAGGGGCGCGACGGTCTACCCTGGGGTGGCGTGCGGTTTCGGTGCAGGCGGCGCCACGACTTCAAGTGTTGAGGCTCGCCGAGCGTAGCTCGCTGCGCGCTCAGGGCGAGCACGTGGCGGAAGCCTGCGCGACCGAAGAGATGTTGGATCTGATCGTCAATGATACGCAGAGGGCCCTGCGCTAAATATGGTTGTGGACCTCTGCGGCCAACGCGCTCGAGGGGCTCTCTTTTTAAGCGGAGCAGATGTGCGCTCCGCGCTTGGGTCGCCAGGCCCGGGAAAACAGTCCAGAAAGTCCGAATCGTCCTCCGCCTCCGCCTGCTCCCTCACTCGCACCTCCTCCCCCATCTGCCCCTCATCCCTCCTCGTCCTCCCCCCACCCGGGACGAGGCCGCCAAGCCAGGCCTGCGCGCGCAGGCCGCGACTCGGGCCCCCCCGGGCGGAAGATCGCCGAGGCCACGTCGGACTACGAGTACAAGGTGCGCAACCTGGAGCCGCGGTCCGCCTCAATCAGAGAAGAAAGCGTTGCATAAGCATAGGCTGCCAGAGGCCTGCGCGAGCTTCTTTGGATCGGCGCCGGACCCCACCTGCGGCGGCGCCAGAGGCGCCGCCCCTGGCGCGCTCCGCGCGCCAGTGAGCGGGGTCCAGCGCCGATCCGAAAAGTTTGCGTGGACCTCAGAACGTTTGTGCTTACAGTCGGACCGAGCATAATATTGAGGTCGGTTCGGGAGGATGCCCTAATGTTCTTCGTGCTTGTTCGATGTTCTTGTGCATCCTGGGGGAGGGTACCCTTGGATGCTCTGTGTGCTATGGCCCGCGGAGGTTCTCATCTTCTCGAGGGATGTTATTCTGGCCTGGGTCCGACTGTATGCAGTTCACCCTCTTCTCGTTACACGACGGTTGTTGAGAGTAGGTATTTGTGTACTCCCAGACCCCAATACATATATGGAGTCTTCCTACTTCATGAGCCGATATGTTGTTGCTGTGTTGTGTTGTTATTTGGGAGGGACTGAACCCAACCTACTTCATCCGCCTTCCTACTTCATGCTTTTACCTACTTCTTCCGACCGACGTGTACACCCGCCCCGCCTCCTGTGATTCTGCTCCCTCTTCCCTCCTCCTCCCTCCTCCCTCCTGGTGCTGCCGCTCGTGCTCGGGATGGGCGCTCCCAGGCCAGATCTTCCTCCTGTGTCCTCTGGTGGAGCTCCCGCGCACTCTTCGGGATCCAAGCCCTTGCCTGGAGGAGAAGGAGGAGGAGGAGGAGGAGGAGGATGGGGGAGGATAATAAGAATGAGGAGGGGTAGTAGAGGAGGAGGAGGCTGAGGAGGAAGCTGAGGATGAGGAGGAGGAAGAGGATGAGGAAGAGGAGGGGTGGACGAGGAGGAGTTGGAATTTTGACTCCTTCTCCCACCAGCCACAGTGGGGACGCCAAGCGACGCATCAACAGTGAAGTGGACGTTGCTATAGCCCAGGTCGTCGCTGAGATTGTCCGACTCGCTAAGGTCCTCTCCAGAGTGGTCCGAAGTAGACCAGCAAGTTGACATTGCGTCACCGACAACGGGCTCCACAGCTCCCTCCTCCGCGCGGCGCCCCGCCTCCTCCACGACAGTGGGCGCGGGCGGGACGGGATGGCTAGGGTCCCAGAGTGGCTGCCAGAGGCCTTGCAGCAGACTGGAGGGCGCCAAATCTGCAGGGCGACCAGCGGGCGGGAGTACACATGCACCAGGAGCGCAATCATCAATGGGCGGCGGCCGCTGCGGCGCCTCGATGAAGAACGTACTTGGGAACAGTGGCGGGCGTCGCCTCGGCCTCCAGAACCGCCTCCAGGTGGGCGGTGTGCCACGCCCCGACACCCGCAAGGAAGCGGGGGCATGGCCAGCTCAGCCCCGCCAGAAGTGCCCAGCCAGGGAGTAGGCGCCATGCGCCGCGGCATCCCGCTCCCTCTTCGCGTGCATCGCGTCGGCGTGGGCACGCCTCGACAACCAGGACCTGGCCTCCGCGAGAGCGCGGTCCCGAGACAGTGGCTGCGCGCACCCGGGAGCGCGTCGAGCGGGGCGTGCAGCTCCGCGCCGCGGAGGAGGGCCTGGAGACGCCGCTGGCGATCAGTGCGAGGGGACCGGCAAGCCGCCGCACGCCGCCCCCGCCAGCCGCCGCGGGAGGGCGCGCGCAAGAGCTCCGGCCCAGGCGCGCGGGGCCCCACGCGCCACGGGCGGTGGCGCGGGCCCTCCCGGAGCCGTGCGCCCGAGCAGCCCGACGCCCTGCGCCCTGGAGTCCCTCGCGCCCGCCAGGTTGCCCCGAGGATGGGTGGGGAGGGAGGGGGAGGGCAGGGGTGGTGGAAGAGGAGTCGGGCGAAGAGAACGATGCGCATGCAGCGGTCCTGGCCATGCCCATCCTTGGCCCCAGGATCGGTGCAGATGCCTTCATGGCCAAGGCAGGAGGGCGTATGCACCGATCCTGGGCTCAGGACGTCCGGGCTCAGGGGAGGGAGAGGAGGACAGGGGTGGTGGAAGAGTGTAAATAATGATCCAAATCTCTCCACCCACAACCTCTTGATGCAAGAAGAAGACAGGCAGATGATAGGATATCTTATACCGAATCAAACTCTGCGTTCGATAGGTGCGTCCACCCTCCCGCCTCAGCTGGGCGGGTTCAAGCCACAAATGGCAATAGTAAACAAGAGAATGCAAGCATGAGCGAGCGAGAGCAATCTCATAGATACTTCTAATCATCATCATATAACTCACATCCCTGCTAATATAACTTTCACACAGGAAAAGGAAACGTTGCTAAATAATGCCTTGGCAAATTCTGCAGCAAGCCTCCAGAATATCGAATCATATTATTGGCTCGAACGATCAAACTATCGTCCGTGCAACAAGCAACATATATCAAATCCAACAATCCAATACTCTTTGCTTGAACGGTCAAATTACCGTCCGTGTATCAAACAACAGATATCAAGATACAACAAATCAATACACCGGGCAACATATAAACAAATCTTTACCTGAGGTCTGCGCACCGAACAACATATATTAATATATGAAATATTTACCTGAGCTCTTGAGGGGGTGCTTTCACTCCTCATCTGCAGATGGTGACCAAACATCACTCACCATCTGAATTGGTAACCCAAATCACTCATCATATGAAAAATGATATCTCAAATCACTCATCATCCTCAGCGCAGACGTACTTCTGACTCGATGGTGCTGTATGCAATGTAAACCTTGATGCTCGGGTCGAGACTATAACTCCTGCTCTCGTCTGCGTCTAGCTTGAGACACCGTCCTAGGCAATTTGCGTAGTGCCTGTCCTTCGTATAGATCGTCTCATAGCTGTCGCCCTCGTACTTGCCACTCCTGATTATCGTTGGTCCCATGGTCTCCGGCCACTGCCTTAGTAGAGCACTATCTCCCAACATAATTGGTCCATCCCCCATGTTATCGTCGTCATAGGTCGCTGGATCGGCTCGTACTGCGAGTGTTGTCGTTGTAGTTTTCGGCGTAGCCTTCGTTGTCCTGGATTTGACCTTGACTTGTTTCTCGGGCAACTCCGGCTTGGACAGGTTGTCGCTGGTTGAACTATCCACCTCCATCGGATCAAACATGTCCTCGTCGTCGTTCTAGAGACTACTGTCACCACCGCAGGAGACATCGAAAGACAAACTCCATACACTGCAAGAGCACAACGTTGAAACAGAACTACAGCTTGGTCAGGTATCTGGATGGTTCTCTGCGCGCCACTCCTCTCCAACAGGTAGTTGTCCGTTAGCTTTTCCGTGTAGAATGCCTCGACGTAGTCGTCATCTTGTTCCTCGTATTTGTCATCGTAGAAGCACTCGTCCACGTAGTTGTACGTCTCCACCGGCCACGTAGAGATCTCTTCGTCGTCCTTCCCAGTGTCGTCGTACAGCTCCTGCTTGACGTACTTGGCCATCTTCGCGTTCAGCTCGTCTACCTCCTTGTTGGCTGCCACCTTCTCTGGTCCAACAAGCTTTCGTCCGCGTGTTGATGGTGCCCTGTCATCAGGCCCAAGAGTCCACAAATTTGATGTAACCATCTTCCTCGCGTGGCCTCCTGGAAGTACTTTTGTCAAACAGTCCGCTAGCATCTGCTCACTCTTGACCCACTTTATGCTGACCTCTTTGAGTGACTGCCGCAGTATAGCCGCTTCCAAAGACAGCCTCCTGTCCGTCATAGAAATCTTCTCCTTTGTGATCGTGTCGTATAGGCTCTTGCAGTCGGTTACCGAAACGCATTTCACCGGGCAGGTGTCGTGCACAATCTCGGTCATGTCCATCTCCGGGTACAGGATCTCCGCCAGGGTCGATCTCGTCCATATCAACATTTCCACGGAATTCGCACATGAGTAGGCCTCCGCCGATAGAGTAGATCGCACCACTCGTTGAATCTTGGAGGACTGCCACCCAATGCAGTGTACCTTGTACTTGTTACTGTGGTCCTCGTTGATCTTCTGGTCGCCCAGCATGATGAAGCGTCCGCGTTGTGATCTGTGTGTGCTTCGGCAGATTGTCGAAAGCATTGTCGGTGACATTGATCACCATGGTCTCCCACAGGTTCAGGCCTGCTGAGAACCTGATCAGCAAGTCGTCCCGCTTCTGTATCCGCCTGATGGCCGCGTTGCCGTCCTGTAGGTCCTTCACCGTCGGAGCTCCCAGCGTAGATGCCAGTCGGGATGCCTCGAAGGCCTCCCCGAAGCATATCACGCGCGCAGCCCATTGCAGTTGTCCAACTACCATTCGTAGTCCACGATGCTCTGCATGGGTCAAGGCGTTATCTGGTGCCTTGCTGCGCTCTCTGGAGATACGTACAGTCTGCATCGACTTCACGTAGGCCTCCATGGTGACGTTGATGCTGCCGTCCTAGTCCTGCTTGTAGGCACGGCCACAGAACGTCGCCTGCTCTTTCTCGCGTACTTGACCTCGCCAAAGTCGATATCCTTCTGTAGTTCCTTCATGATCTTGGCGCCCTCCGGGTCGCCCTGCTTGATGCCCATGAGGAAGTCATCCACGCGCAGGCACATGATCCCGATGATCGTGCCCTCCGCATTGCGCTTGATGAAGGTCGCGGGTTCGAAGCTCAGGCCTTCCCATCCAAGCTTCACGAGCGTCGCGCGTAGTGCCACATACCACGCGCGAGCTGCATCGTTGGTCCCGTAGATGCTCTTGTTTAACTTCAGCAGGTCGCCTGCCTTCACTCCAGGGATGTTGCACTTCCCGAGGTTCGCCGGGATACGAAAGTAGAGCTCGCGTGTGATGGCTTTGCCTTGCAGAAAGGCTCCCTTCACATCCGCGATGACTAGGTCTAAGTTGAGGCTTGATACGATGCTGCACACGAGTAACGTCATCTGTGCTGAGACTGTAGGTGAGTCCCGTCGTAGCTTGTCGTCACACTCCTCTTCGTAGCCTCTCCCACAGATCCTGGCCTTCGGCTCGAAGGTCGCGGGGTCCTTATCGGTCCAGACCACCTT